CACACCACACACACACTACACACACACCACACACACACTACACACACCACACACACCACACACACCATACACACACCACACACCACACACACACACACACACACACACACACACACACACACACACACGCTGGGGATCAAACCTAGGGCCTTTCAACAGGCTCTGCCCTATGCAGAGTACACTTGCTGTGTTTTCCCTTTGGAGAGTTGTGATGTCTGTAACTAACTAGTTGTATACTAACTTAAAAAACAAAAAAGATGAGAAAAGAAAAAAAAATCAGTCCCAGAAGTTGGGAGGTAGAGATGGAAAGATCAGAAGTTCAAGGGCTATGTAGTGATTTTCAGGTTGTCCCTGACTTCAGAGGACCCTTTCTGAAATAAAACAAGAAAGGAATTGACTTAGAAAACAGAAACAAACAGTGATAAACATAGACACACACAAACACAAGTCTGGTGCTCCATGCTGCAGCATCTGCAGACAGCCCAGGCTCTACTTAGTGTGGCAGTACAGGCATCTGAGGTAAGAAAACACAGCTTCACTGCTCCAAGGGCCACCAGTTTAGAAAAGGTAGAAATGGAGCCCCCGGAGGTCTCCTTTCTGCTCATGGCACACCACCCACCTCTGCTTCCATCCAGGGCTCAGGAGGAAAGTACAGGGCTGCTGAGTGGCCTCCGTATCTGGCATACCCAGTTGCTCCCTGGTGGACTCCAGGGCCTCATCCTCAACCCCATCTTCCGCCAGAACCTCCGAATTGCCCTTCTGGGTGGGTATGTCGTTTCCCTCCCTTCCTGAGCTAGGCCAGGGGACCCGCTGATTACAGTGATGGAGGAGAATCTCCTGAGAGGGAGGTCTCCCCAGAACCTGTGCCCACCCCCCCGCTTTGGAAGAAGCTCCTTCAGAAATACACTGGGCCGGGTGTGGGTATAGGGTGTAGAACATGTCCCCTTCTCATGGTCCATGGGGAAGCAGGAAACAGATGGGCTCCTTACTCCTGCCCATCCTGGCCACAGGGGCAAGGCCTGGTCTGATGACACCAGTCAGTTGGGACCAGACAAGCACGCCCGGGACGTCCCCTCGCTTGACAAGTATGCAGAGGAGCGCTGGGAGGTGAGGACCAGGCCTGCGTGTGCCTCTGCTCTGCTCCCATTCCCCGTAGGCCCGGAGACCACCGTCTGATCCCTTTCTTCTCTAGGTGGTCTTGCACTTCATGGTGGGCTCCCCCAGTGCCGCCGTGAGCCAGGACCTGGCTCAGCTCCTCAGCCAGGCTGGACTCATGAAGAGGTGAGGAGGGCAGAGCACAGCAGCTCCCCGCTCGACCGTCTCTCGGGTCTCAAAGTGGGGGCCTGGGGTTAGGAGGGCTTGAGGAGAGCTGGCTGAGAAGAGGTCCGTCCGAGCAGGAGTCACCGGAAACGGGTAGCTACCCTTCTTTGCATGTTGCTCCCGTCACCCCTCCATTTCTAGCGCTGAACCCGGAGAGCCGCCCTGTATCACTTCTGCTGGCTTCCAGTTCCTGCTGCTGGACACGTCGGCCCAGCTCTGGTACTTCATGCTGCAGTATCTGCAGACAGCCCAGGTAAGAGCCAGGGCCTAGCCGGCGTACCCGCTCTTCTCAGGTTCCCCTGAGTGACAACCCCCTACACTGTGCTCCTAACCCCTCCTCCCTTCTCTCATCTCTCCTCAGAGTCGGGGCATGGACCTAGTGGAGATTCTCTCCTTCCTCTTCCAGCTCAGTTTCTCTACCCTGGGCAAGGTAAGTAGGGGGTGGAGGACAGGGAGGTAAAGAGTGGTCAGGAGTGGAATGGGAAGCGTGACCACAGAACTAGCTGAGAGGGTGAGAGAGGGAGGAGGCTGGGTGGGGAGTGGGGATGTGTCACAGCCCCAGCTACCCACTTCTTCCCCAGGACTACTCCGTAGAGGGTATGAGTGATTCCTTGTTGAACTTCCTGCAACACCTGCGTGAGTTCGGGCTTGTTTTCCAGAGGAAGGTACGCACACCCAGCCACCTGGCCTCTAGGAGAGTGGGGTGCTGGGGTGTAGCAGAAAGCCCTTGCCAGGACTGAGTGGCTGGCCATTTGAGGGGGGTTGTTAAAGGTTGGTTTTGCACTGGGGGATCTGATGTCTAACAGGAAGATGTTAGGGTGGTGATCTGAAAGAGGACCCTGTTTCTCCGTGTCCTTCCAGAGAAAGTCCCGGCGTTACTACCCCACACGCCTGGCCATCAATCTCTCATCTGGTGTCTCTGGGGCTGGGGGCACCGTGCACCAGCCAGGCTTCATTGTCGTAGAAACCAATTACCGACTGTATGCCTACACCGGTGAGGCGGGGTGGAGGTGGATGGGGAGGAGTGGGGGGCGGGAATCCAGTCATGGCCGTGTTTATGGTTCAGGAGCTCTCTGGTATCTCTTCTAACACTTGAGGGCAGGGCTAAGGAAGGCGGGTATGGATGGGCAGCCTCCTCACTCCTCTCCATCCCTGGGCAGAGTCGGAGCTGCAGATCGCACTCATCGCCCTTTTCTCTGAGATGCTCTATCGGTTCCCCAACATGGTGGTGGCACAGGTGACCCGGGAGAGTGTGCAGCAGGCCATCGCCAGTGGCATCACAGCCCAGCAGGTACCCTGCCTGGAGAGGAGGTGGGGATGGGCCGTGCTTGTCCTGGGGGACAAGACATTCCTGTCATGGACGCAGGTCTGTCAGGCTTGTGGCTAGGCAAAAACAAGAGATGCTGTTTCGGTGACATTAGGGGACTGCTCAGATGGCTTTCTGTATCCTTGTGTTTTCCTAGATAATCCATTTCCTGAGGACACGGGCCCATCCAGTGATGCTCAAACAGGTATGGACGGGTACCGAGATGCTGGAGGCTGGCAGTCTGGGCACCTAGCAATGAGAGGATGGGTAGGAAAGGAGCATCTAAACCAGAGACTGCTTTGGGCACCTGCTCTGGGTCTATAGCCCCACCCTGTCCCTGCAGACTCCTGTGCTGCCTCCCACTATAACAGACCAGATTCGGCTGTGGGAGCTGGAAAGGGACAGACTTCGTTTCACTGAAGGTGAGTGGCTTCTGTTGATCCAGTCTTGGTCATTGGCTAAAGAGGTAAGGCCAGCAGTTTGGCCGTGGTGAATGAAAAAGGTCGTGTGCATTTCTTATTTATTTCTCCCACAGAGAGGGAGAGAAAAGCTGGTCCTTTATTTTGATATTTTGGTAGCAGGAAATATGTCCCAAATCAGCGCGGTTTGGATTAAGTTAGTTAGGTGAGGGTAAGCGGCAGGGCAGTCCCGTCATCTCCCTGGATAGGTTTGCATGGTTTTTCTTGTGGTATTCTGTTGTCTTTTCAAATGTCTGGATGCCACGAGTGTTAGTTAAGGTGAACAGACAGTCGTCCGTGGAGAGTTCGATCTTGGAACTGGCCTGCTGCCTCTGCGGGGATGCAGCCCGGAGGGGCAGAGGGCACCGCGGCCGCTCACCTCCTGCTTGTCCCACCCGACCCCAGGCGTCCTGTATAACCAGTTCCTGTCGCAAGTGGACTTTGAACTGCTGCTGGCCCACGCGCGGGAGCTGGGCGTGCTGGTGTTCGAGAACTCGGCCAAGCGGCTGATGGTGGTGACACCGGCCGGGCACAGCGACGTCAAGCGCTTTTGGAAGCGGCAGAAGCACAGCTCCTGAGCCGGGTGGGCGGGCGGGCAGCTTTCCAACTCAGATGTATTTTGTTTACACGCCGGGACATTTCTTGTTTAATAAAATTAAGGAAAAAAGCTAAGCGGCTCTGCCCGCGTTTTCCCGTCCGAGGTGGTGGTACCCACGTCTACACCGAGACCCCGTGCAGGGAGTGTCTCCTACGCACGCGCCGGCGCGGCCCCGCCCCTGTGCGCGCGCGCACACCCGGCGGCGGTCCGTCCGCTTGGAGCGTCCGCTGTGGCGTTCCGGATAGAGGCGCGTGGTGGGGTCTGGGGCTCCCTGGTTTCCGAACGCCGGCCTCGTCTCCCGTGTGTCCGCGTCAGCGCAGGGTGACGGCCAGAGCCCCCGCCTTCTCCGGCCGCCCTGGTTTCAGGGACTGGAGAATGCTGCGGACACCGTGCGCCCCGCCCCTCGGGGGAAGGACATAGAGTGAGGGTCCAGCTGGTGGGAGTGACCGAGTGTGAGCTCTTAATGTCCCATGTCCTCTCGATTAGCAGACCTTGACTTCTTCCCAAACACTTCCGATGCCTCTTTTACCTCTGGCCTCCTTCCGGCCACCGCCTTGGGTGCTGAGGCCCGCATGGGGCCTCTCCAGGCCCCAGCCACTCTGTACACAGCCAGAGCTCCACGGCTCGCCCCTCTCTCGGAGGAACCGTGAAGCCAAGCAGAAGCGCCTGCGGGAGAAGCGGGCGGCCCTGGAGGCTGGGCTAGCCGAGAAGAGCAAGGTCAGGGGTCAGGCCTTGGGTCTCCAGGACTGGGGAAGGGGCTGAAAGAGGCTGGGGCGGGATCCAGATGACCGTGGTGTACTGGGAATTGCAAACCCCCACCCGTTTCCTCCCACAGTCACCTGCGGTGCCCACTAAGGCCTGGAGTCACAAGGAGGTAGTGTTGTATGAAATCCCCACTGAGCCGGGTGAAAAGAAAGGTAAACTGTAGGGTGCGTTTTTGCGATTTTGTTGCTCTTTGGTCTGCTGAAGTGCAGTTCACTGGTGGATCCCTCTTCTGCTTGTACAGACGTTTCTGGGCCCCTGCCCCCTGCTTACAGTCCCCGGTATGTTGAGGCGGCCTGGTACCAGTGGTGGGTGCGAGAGGGCTTCTTCAAGCCAGAGTATCAGGTTAGTGCTGGGCAGAGCGGGGCTGCCAGGTTCCCAGGACAGCGTGAGCAGCCCTTGAACTTGGTGGGCACGGGCCCGCTTCACAGCAGAGCTTTCTTTTGGCCCCTGGCTTCTTCCAAGTTTCTTTTTGCTTTCCCCCACATTGGATATTCTTTGAAATTTTATTATTGCTATCATCATTATCATCATCATCATCATTTCGTTTTTGAGACAGGGTCTCTATGTAGACCAGGTTGGCCTCAAACTCACAGAGAGCCACCTGCCTCCTGCCTCCCAAGTGCTGGGATTAAAGGCGTGTGTCACCACCACCTGGCCTCCTTGAAGTTCTTTTCACCCTGAGGGCACCAGGCACCCATCCCTTCCCCCCCAGGTAATGTTTAGTCCCCTCTTGTGCCTCTGACTTCCTCACTTCTTCTAGGCACGGCTGCCCCATGCTACAGGGGAGACCTTTTCCATGTGTATCCCACCTCCCAATGTCACTGGCTCCCTGCACATCGGCCATGCACTCACGGTGGCGATACAGGATGCCCTCGTGCGCTGGTGAGAGGAAGTGGGGCTGCTGCAGTTCCTGGGGGGAAGGTCAAGAGTGCCGGACCGCATGAGGGTGAGCCAGTTCAAGGGTCCCTTACAGTGTTTCTGTCCTCAGGCACCGGATGCGCGGGGATCGCGTGCTGTGGGTCCCCGGCTCAGACCACGCAGGCATTGCTACGCAGGTGGGTCTCTTGTCCCATTTCCTCGTCTTGGTTGGTGGTGCTGTCCTTATCCAGAGCAACCTGACCAGCTCTTCCCTCGCCCTTGGTCAGGCTGTGGTGGAGAAACAGCTGTGGAAGGAGAAGGGCGTGAGGAGACATGAGCTGAGCCGCGAAGACTTCCTTAAGGCCGTGTGGCAGTGGAAGCATGAGTACGGTGGTGGGCCGCGTGCACGACCAGCTGAACCTCTGCTGCCTCCGCCTCTGACTGGCAGCATCGGTCCTTCCTAACCGCCTCAGAGCAGAAGCTCTGGGACTGAGCATTTGACGGGCAGGGTGCCCGAGCTCTGCGCTATGTTTACGTCAGAATGCACACATTGTGTGTGTGTATGCGAATGGATATGTGCGCGTGTGTGCTTTTTAAACCCGTCTACTTGTCTGTTTCCCCTCATTTATCATCACGGCTCCCGACACCCTGGCCCGTCCCCTCCATGTCTGTTGTCACGTGCTTTTGTCTCTCCCGCTTTTTTTTTCACAAAGTGGCGGCTCCTACCAGACATGTACAACATGGGCCTTGTGCATCCCAGCATAGTCATGAATTGTAAATTTACTTAAACATTTTGAGGACTGTGTGTGTGTGTGTGTGTGTGTGTGTGTGTGTGTGAGGTTTTTTCCCCCCTCTATTGCATAATTCTCAAATGTGAACTTTCTGGATGGCAATGTCATGTTACAGTGTTACGCAGAATAAATGTATATATGCGCTCACAACCCATGGGCTGCAGCTTTAGGGGTGTGTGTGTGTGTATGTGTGTATGTGTGCATGTTCTCATAACCCAGGGGCACCAGCTTAGACACCATTGGGTGTAGCCCAAGACAATTATTCATCCTATGTGGCTCAGAGAAGCCAAAGATTTAGACACTCCTGCAGAGACCTTTATGTGTCTTTCAAAGCCATGGAAAGCCCCACCCTGGTGGGTGTGTGGTTCTGTCTCCATCGGCTTCTAGACTCTGCTGGGCCAATGCCCCGTGCGCTTTATTTCCTCTGGTACCTGGCGTTGGTGAGCGTCCTTGGTGAGTGTGTGGGAGGTGCTCTGGTCATGTTTACTGATAGGAATCTCTGGTGCAGGAAAGGAGGAGAGATCTATGAGCAGCTGTGCGCTCTGGGTGCCTCTCTGGACTGGGATCGAGAGTGTTTCACGATGGACGCTGTGAGTTCATGTTACGGCTCCTGTGGGTTTTGTGGGGAGGGTGTTGGGAGAGGAACGAGGGAGTCCCTGGTTCGGCCGAGGGAGGATGTCAGGTGTGGACACTCGGGTCACTCTAGGGCTCCTCAGCAGCCGTGACGGAAGCTTTTGTGCGACTCTACAACTCGGGGTTGTTGTACCGCAACCGTCAGCTTGTCAACTGGTCGTGTACTCTGAGATCAGCCATCTCAGACATTGAGGTGAGCAAGAGGAAGAAAAGCAGGCCGGCGGAGTCAGGTCCCTGCAGCTGTTTGATTTTCTCAAGCTCCAGCCACCCAGCTTCTTCACCGTCAATCAGATGGTGGCGTACGGCCTTGTAGGGACATTGTAAAAAATCACAGAATTTGTGCAGTGCTCAGCACAGTGAGCTGCCATGGCTTCTGAGCTCTGTGACTTTGCTGTGGAGGATGGGATCTGGGTGGATGGCTGTGGGACTCCTGGATGTGAGCTCTGCAGAAAGACTGTTCTCTCACTGCCTCCTCAACCCCCCAGGTGGAGAGCCGGCCCCTGCCTGGCCGCACAGTGCTCCAGCTGCCCGGCTGCCCGACCCCTGTGTCTTTCGGGCTCCTTGTTTCTGTCGCCTTCCCCGTGGATGGCGAGCCTGGTGAGTGTAGTCCTGAAAGTTTCCCTCTTAGCGCTGCTTCCTGTTTTCTCGAGCGTACGGTGGGTCGCTGGGACCCTGGTAGGTTTCCTGTTGTGGGTCCTTACTCTGGGGATTGGGGGGCGGGGGGGGGAGAAAAATGCAGGTGGACCTCTTCTTTGGGAACTTGGTATGATTCTATGAGAAAGAGAATGAGGATTCTCTTTCACTAAGGAAAGAGGTGGAAGATCAGTTCTAAGCTAATGATGGTGTGCTTGTGACCACAGCATGTGGGAGGCAGAGGTGGGAGCACTCCCAAGTTTACGGCTCACCTGGGCTACATTCCAAGCCAGCCAGGGCTACATGAGGCCCTGTCTCAGAAAAACAGTGCAAAGGAAGGTTAGTTGTAAAGTGTAGTTCGTAAGTGTTCCAGATAGTTCAGAAAAGGGCAAGAGGCAGGCTGGGGCCAGCCAGACCTTGTCGGCTCCCAGCTCTACCCGTTTCCCATGTGTCGGAGGAGGGCTGGGGTGACGGCTGACCTCGGTGCTTGGATGCTTGTCTCCAGGTGCGGAGGTTGTGGTGGGAACCACCAGGCCCGAGACGCTGCCTGGAGATGTGGCCGTGGCTGTTCACCCGGACGACCCGCGATACACAGTGAGTGACTGGAGTGCGCCTGCACCCCACCTTCTTCACTGTGAGCCCCTGCTTCTGAGACCCCTCCTCTCCGCTCTGCATTGCCTCTAACTATGCTCACTTCCTATTTTTGATGCTCTGCTTTTCCTCGTGCTCGGGGTTAGCTAGCCGTGGCCTCCAGACCAAATGCAGCTGCCCGTTAGTGTTCCCGCCACCCTCACTGGCTGTGTGCTTCCTGTGGCTGCCTCGGAGCAGCGGTGCAGGAGCTGTTAGAGACTGTCTGCTTGGCCCGCTCGCTGGGCCTCGCGCTCACCCCTTCCCTTCCGCCTCCCGGCCCTTGCCCTGGGGTTCTCGCGGCCAGACCCTCTGCCCCACACTTGAGCCTCTCCTAACTGCTCACCTTCCCTTAGCATTTACACGGGCGGCAGCTTCGTCACCCTTTGACGGGACAGCCCCTCCCCCTCATCACAGACACCAGTGTGGAGCCACACGTGGGCACAGGTGTGTGGAAGTCCAGGGTTGGGGAGAAGGGAGGGAATGAAGTGGGAGAGCCGTGAGAGCGGGTGGTGGGACTGTCATGGCAGAGGGGATGAGGTGTGGGATTTATGCTTCTTGAAACCCAAGACCAAGATCAGTGCCATCTCACGGCAGCTGTTTCCCCCAGGGGCCGTGAAGGTGACTCCTGCTCACAGTCCAGCAGATGCCGAGATGGGAGCCCGGCATGGCTTGACCCCGCTGAGTGTCATTGCAGAGGATGGGACCATGACATCCCTCTGTGGAGACTGGCTGCAGGTGGGGCCCGCCTTGGTGTTACCCCGTCTCCTGGAGACACCCTTTGCCCTGCCTCATCCTGTCCGGGGCCTCATCTTGTCACTTTCCCCAGGGTCTTCACCGATTTGTGGCCCGGGAAAAGATTATGTGCACACTGAGAGAGCGGGGCCTGTTCCGGGGCCTACAGGAGCACCCCATGGTCCTGCCCATCTGCAGGTAGCGCCATTTAAATCCTCTACTGGGGCCATGCTGAAAGGGGATGGATGAAGCTCACGAGAGCCAGCAGGATGGGCTCCATGCCCGGGCTAGAGTGTGGTTCTGTGCCGGGTGTCCCGGGCTAGAGTGCGGTTCTGTGCCGGGTGTCCTGGGTTAGAGTGTGGTTCTGTGCCGGGTGTCCCGGGTTAGAGTGTGGTTCTGTGCCGGGTGTCCCGGGTTAGGGTGTGGTTCTGTGCCGGGTGTCCCGGGCTAGAGTGTGGTTCTGTGCCGGGTGTCCCGGG